CCCCTGCCTCCCCTGCCTCCCCTGCCTCCCCTGCCTCCCCTGCCTCCAAGTTTCCTCTTCCTTGCTTTCTTTATTTTCCTTCCCAGTAGTAGTCAGCACACTGTAGCATAAAGCATCATGGAATTACACACATATATGGCTGACTGTCTCCATAGGCAAATGCAGAAGACCAAGTTGGTTTTTTTTTTTACTTTGTTAGTAAATGCTGCCTTCCTAGTGCCTAGCATAGTGTCTAGTAAATAGTAATACAAAATGTTCAGTAAATATTCACCCAGTGAAAGAGAATGATATTCTAAGCGTTCACAGTGCAATGACATCAGGAGATAGTCTTGAATGTTCCATGATGTTCGTATTATGTACAGGAGATTGTGTCGTTGCATTAGTAAGTTAATTTGAAAGTTTCTGGGCCCCTTTAGCCCGTGGACAGTGAATATACAACATTGCATTTTTGTTTGTGATGAACAAGCCTCTGTGAATTTATCCTCACCAAAATTTCTCCAGTCCTACAATTCAACAGTAGTTATTTAAGATGGGGTAAAGGTGAAAGAATCCCAGGAGGCAAAAAACTCAAACGAGTGGCTGAAACAGCACCCGTGGAGTGGGTAGCCACCACATTCCAAGCACTGTAGAGGTTTAATTAGTTAATTAATTGTTATGAGATGGGTCTCACTGTGACTGCCCAAATACCCACATCAACCTTCCTATCGCTGGGATCTGTAGATTGCAGGCCTTGGTCACTGCACCAGACTAGGCATTTTTTTTTTTTTTTAATTTTTAGGTTTTTAATTCAGTCTGTCCAGGCTAGATAGTAATCTACCTCTTTTGCGGGTGGGATGGTCAGGTCCTTGTTCTTAGTCAGAAGTGGAGTTGAGTTTTAAAATATGTCTGGTTCGAACCCAAACTTACCCTTTCTCCACACTTCCAAACCGCCCTGTGCATGCTTCAGGCTGCTCCCTCCAGAACTTTCATCAGTCACTCTGAGATCAAAGCATGCGAGCAGTCTCCCTGCTCTGCCCGACAACCAAACGTTCGTTCGCACTCCGTGCTCTGAGCAGATGTGCTGGGCTACAGTTACCCTGTGATGTCTGTGCCCAAACCGAAGATCCCTATCACGGCCAAGAGTTCTGGCGGGGCGTGGGAAGTGGCAGAGGAGGAGGCCTCATCTTCCTCCTGTACAGACTGGCTGTGCTGAAGCCTGTGGCCTGCAGTTTGCAGTTGCTCCTTAGGTGTTCACACACCGGACTCCAAAATGCTGCCCTCACCCCACTCCTATTTCGGTTTTTCTTGTGTGGATTTGTTCTCAGAGCCTGCAGAGCCCCTTCTTTAAAGATGTCACCAGTGGAGCCCAGTCTTTGCCTTTATAGACGGGATTTGATTTTCTCAGTCCTGTGCTGCTATAGCCGCGAGTGAGGTGGGTGAACAGTGGTCTGTTCTGTGTAGAGAACGGCTTGTGTGCATTTTTTATCATGTTGCCCCTGAAGGATTTTGTAAGGGATCTGGAAGCCGCCTGATTAATATCTACCACGTGGGGAGAGCACATCTGGGGCCGCTTTGGGGAGTGGTCTTTTGACTACGTAGGCTCTGATAGTCGAGCAGAACAAGCTGAACCCTGACTGTCACCTTCTGCAGCTAGATTGCAGTGCCATGAAGGGTGGCCTGCAATCAGAAGAATCACGGTGCGAATATTTGCCTAATAAACGCAGATATATGAGGCAAACCGTCTGAAATGAAAACAGCGGCTGAGAATCCCAGGAACGGGAAAGCAATGCTATTGTTAAGCCAGAATCTTGATGTAAAAACAGCAGATGAGAATAATGAGGGTGGGGGAGGGGGGTGGGGGAGTGGGGATGATGGTTTTACGGTTATGTCTATAAGAGGGAAGCGAGACAGTGTTTGAAGTGATACTCTAATCTGGTCAGGCAGTCCGTGCCTTGTAATGTATTAGAAACTGCAAAGAGGAAATCATTTGTGAGATTTCTAAGATTTTTTTTTTTTTTTGGAATTTTAAAGAGCATTTTATTCGAGTGTAATTTTACATTGAAAATGACATGTGTTTTATATATATATATTTGTTTGTTTTTGTTTTTTTGTTTTTTTGAGACAGGGTTTCTCTGTGTAGTCCTGGCTGTCCTGGAACTCACTCTGTAGACCAGGCTGGCCTCGAACTCAGAAATCCGCCTGCCTCTGCCTCCCAAGTGCTGGGATTAAAGGCGTGCGCCACCACTGTCCGGCTGAGATGTCATATATAATTAAGATCTTTTCTCTTAAGTAGAGCCAATACTTTATAATCCTTATCATAAAAATCTCCCAACCAGAAGGAATTTTGTCTAAATACGATGACTTATAACGACATGGAGAGTCCAGTTAGAACAATTCCAGTCTGACTAATCCCCTGACTGGAAACTCAAAGCATTAAAACAGGATTCAGTACACAGCCCCCAGCTTCAGAGATCTCCTCAGGCAGCACTTCACAAATGTGAGTTAGTGTCAACAAACACTCCCCACTGAACCAAAACAATTTTGGGTAAAGACAAGAGGTATCATACAAATTCAGAGTAGAAACAGCTCAGTAAACAACACCTGTCTGAAGGCTTCCAAAATTTACTGTTCATACAAACTATGGGTGTTATACAAGAGGCCTCTCGACAACAGCTGGCAGAGAGCTGACATAACACCACACTATGCCTGAGTGCAGAATACAGAGTCAGATGCCATATTATTAAAAAAAAAAAAAAAAAAAACAAAAACCTCTGGATGGAAAACCACCAAGACTTCTTTTGATCCTACCAGAGGCTATTCAAAACCAATTGAAGGTGTTTTTGAGAAAGCCTTTGGCTTTTTTTTTTTTTTTTTTTTTTTTTTTTTTTT